GTCCTGACCGCGTAGCTCAGTGTCCTGACCGCGTAGCTCAGTTGACTGCAGCTTATTGTAGAATACTACCTACACTGGACCGCCACGTTGGAACTAGATTCTGTTCCGAAATATCACTTACTGAAGAGCATTGGGCTAGTATTCCAAAGGTCGTAGGTTCGAATCCCACCGTGGCCGGGCATATTTTTCAAGCTCGCCCGGTGTGGATATACACTCAGAGTAACACCACAAATGTTAGCCAAACATGTTGCTTTAATTATTTAGCTCACATGATAATACTGGAGAATGGATCAAAATTAATTTATAAATAGTGATTTATTCGTATGTGATGTCATATCAAATCCTCCAATTCGGACTGGACTAGATTTCAAATCAAATCGCGCGGACTTAAAATCTATACAGCCTGTCCCAAACTTGTTACAACAACTAGGAACAAACAGTGCGAATACAAATTGTCGACAGCTTCGTGTGAACAGATTTGTAACAACTTGTTTGCAGACCTGTAACAACTTGCGAGTTTTTATAATGACGTGTGTTCTGTTACCCTGGATTCCAGAGCCTTCGACAGTGAATAATAAATTGGAACGTCGCGAAGGCTCTGGTTCAACGGGGAGATTCTTTGATTAAACCGCGCCAATCACAAAACAGAATTAGTGGTTTTAGTACAGAATCTGTTTATTTACTGTCGAAGGCTCTGGAATCCAGGGTAGTGTTCTGTACGTTGTTGTCAATCACTTCGGTCCATTCCAACTGAATAGTGTTGATAACTTACCTTAATATCGCATACGTTATTGAACAACTGATGTCTAACGTATCTTAATTTGGAAAGCCAATAAGGGTGTTTAACCTTATACTTGTCATTTTTCGGGGTGGTTTGACAGCTGGGAAGTTCGGAAATCGCGATTGCCATCCCGTTACTGCTGTGCGCATCAATGTGACAATGCAAAAACCACCATCCAGGGTTATCTGCCAGAACCTCGATGACCACGTAACCGCCCGCGGGGACAATAATCACGTCTTTACGAACTGTGCGACGGTCGACCACGATGTCCGACGGCCGTTCTCCATTCGTCCAATGCGCAGGTCCGCAAGTTGCGTCCGCTGCCGGTTGCGTTAAATTCGGGTTCATTCCGACGATAGCGCCATTTGCGTCATAAGGTGGGTAACCGATCTTTGTCACGAAGAACGAATGGCCGTGTAAATGGACTGGATGTGTCGCGACATTTGGGGCGGTCCCGTCGAAGTTTTCTGCAATCGACGAAAGCACAAATCGTATAGTTTGAGGTGAAAATGTCCCGTCAGCTTTACTCGCGCTGTTCCTCTCAAGATAAATAGCCTGCGCGCACGGTAGCGAGCAATTTTCACGGCCATAACTACATTCGTTTACAACATCTTCGTTTCCGGAGTTAACAAAAGGGATATTTCGGGGCAGTCTATTTTCGATACCGTTAATTACTGGGCCGCCGCGAAAAGCAAAGTTCAAAAATCGTTCCTCAACTTTGCCGGTGTGTTGAGGGAGCTGATTTTTTGGTGTTGGATTGAGCAAACGAAGTTCCCGAACATTGTGGCATGTGATATTGGCCTCTGGAGGGTAGTTCTGGAATGGACAGTTCAGCGCTGTGCATTTCTCGACTTCGCAACGATGTTTGTCGCCATAATGATCGACTAAAATTGGTTCCTCCGGAGTGTCGCTGTCGGTATATTGAAGGTACGCGTAGCCAACCATTTGTGGAGTGGTATAATTGTCACATTTTACTGCGATGGTCTCGATTCGAATTGGAAAAACTGTTCCAGCCTTGTGATCTTTCAGATTGGCCTTCAGAATGAAGTCGTAACGCTCCGCAATGTGAACGACTAAAAGGTCAGTTGTGAAGGGTCTTGTAAGATAGCCATCAGCAGACACGACATGCAACTTATGTTTGTCAATAGAAATTCGGAGAACGTCAGCAGCCATTATTCCGAGAATTCGAAAGCGAAATTTCTTTCCCCGTTTCACATAGAAGATTGGTCTCAAATCCTTGGGGAGTATTGATTTGGCCATGGGTAACTTATGACCCAATTTCACTCCATTTATGCTCAACGGTTCTAGGGTTACTCTGTTATTAAAGAGCGGGAAAAGAGGGAACATTGAGCGGTCCGGCTCACATATGTCAGATTTTTTGGCAAGCTTTGCGCCACGCACAGGAGCCTGGAGCTGGACTTTATCGCGAATAGCTAGCATTGTTTTTCCCGGATTGTCCACTACTTTCTTAAACAGTTTTCTAGTCTTCTTGGTATGTCTATCTCGTACGATCAAAGCACCAAGAATGCCTTCGTCTCTTTGCAATAGCATGTGAGAGTGATACCAATGTGTTCCACCAGGATATGCGCGAAGCACATACCTAGAATTTAAAGACTTGGTTAAAGTCTTTAAAGACCTATTCAAGCAAATCCAGGCTCTGTTTAAAAGGGCCTAACTCTGATTTAGTTAGCAACTTGCATGTTAGACTAATTAAATTTTTGATCTTGGCAAAAAATTTAATTCCCGTAAAGAACTTAGTAAAATTGCAAAATTTGGTTACGAAATGTTGTAAAATTCGGAAAATATAGCCTTGCGAATCGAAGTCTTGCTTTTTTTGTATATATATGTTTGTATTTCGTGCGGAAATTGTTACCACTTTTGAGTCGAAAATGGTAACAATTTCCGCACGTAATACAAACATATACAAACTTTGCAAGACTATATTTTCCAAGCTTTACAACATTTCGCAACCAAATTTTGCAATTTTACCAGTAATTTCATTATCGCTTTCTAGCTGTGGACTGGTGTTTGATGCTCTTTACTTAGATTAAAATTTAGTCTGACATGCAAGTTGTCCATTAAAGAGAGCCTAGACTCCTCCATTCTAAGGCTTTTAAGGGGACCTACAATCGCGTGCAAAAATAGTGAGGCTTTTCACTTTTTGGCCATTTTAAAGTACGTCGGCCTCTCCCCCGCCCCCATGATCAATGTTGGAAAAAGTGGGTTGAATTTTCTCTTCTCCGAGTCATTCACACGCCATTGAATTGGGGGTGAGGTGTGCATTTATGCGGTTGTCTCAATAATTTTTGCTCCTGATTGTATAGCTATAGTCTTCAGATCAATCCTATATAGGCCGCTTCAGATTAGTGGTGTGATTACCTATTGATTCACCCCATTCCACAAAGGCGAAACAGAGGGCTAAGCCACCCTCTCTCTCCCCCAAAAAAACTAGCGATCAGAGTTTGGCTGTATATCCAAAAATTTGTTTCAGTGGAAAAATAAAAAATGTTTCTGGGGGAGAATTCCAGACCCTCCCCCCACTATTACATACAGCACCACACCAACCATCTGTCATCTCTCCACACTCAGTATAGTATGGTCCCTTTTGGTAGGGCCCCCTCCCCACAGAGTGATCACAGAGTGATCACATTCTAAGTTTGTAAGTTCTATTGTAAGTAAGTTCTATTGGTAATTATATAAATTCTAAGTTTGTCCGAAGGATTTGTAAGATGGGTGTGTTAAACATTGAGTCAGTTCTGGCTCACAAGTATTTCATCAAATCTTTGTTTTCTGTGGTAATTAAAAACTAACTTTATTAATTCATACCAAATAACTCTATAGTCAGTTCTAAACCAGAACCTTTTTTTAAGAATTCGTCTGTGGGTGAAGGCGTTGGAAAAAGCTCACTCTTTTAAACATGCAAGGAATAGGCCTATTACGAGCTGCCTAATTAACCCTCTGTGAAAAGTGTTATGGGTGCTGAAACACCCCCAGTTTAAATTCACTTAAAGAATATTTCACTAGTAAAGGATATTTCACCACAATATCAATGGTAATTTTGTTCAATTTGTTTTGGACAAGAATGTCCAAAAGACTCCAAATTGGCTCATTCATGAACGCCAGTGAATGCTACAGTACACTGCGTTCAACACACTAGCTGGAAATATGAAAAGGAAACTCCTCTCGTGTGCGACCCTTGAGTCATTGTTATTGTAGCCCAAGTAGTAAGCGTTTATATTGTTAATGCAGATAATATTAATGTGTGTATACATCAGCCGGATCCTTTCGCGCATTCAAGATGTAGATTGTTCACTGGTTGTAGCAGCCCATGCCGAGTAAGTTTGCGGTTGTATTAAGCCTATGGTTTCTATATGGTCGTAACGGTCGTAAAGATTGAGTCACGATCTTTCTCGTCAGCCGAAATACAACATTTTAGAACTGAAAATACGCGGAGTGATTTATAACTGGAGAATACTTATGATTTATATGTGGTTTACAGCCGTATAAACTATACAACCATTTCGACCACATGGAAACCAGGGTTTATAAAGTTGCAACAAAAACATCATGACATTTCTAGATTTTATTTATGCTTAAAAAATTCATTAATAATTCACGAGGAAAATACAAAAGAAATGAATGTTTAATCAATGCTTGTAAATCGGATAAAGATTTGTCCTGATTTACATGAACTTCAGCTTTGATTTTCTCGGCTTAGACAATGTTTATTTTTAAAATTACTTCGCCAATGAACTCATAAGATGGGTCATTTTTTAATTAAGTACGATACTTGAACATTCGCATCCGATCTGTATCTGATATACAAACTCTCGCCTTCGTCTCTCGGGATGTATATGACTAAATACCTCCGCCCTCGGTGTTTACTCTAACGTATAATGACATTATAAAGATTTTGTTTTGTATATATGTAATGTGTGTATATTTTTTTACCTGAATGCATCGCGAGGTTTCGTAGGCAACTGTGTGATCATACCGACACCATCCATCCATGGGGTATTAAACTGATGCATGCCATGCCAGTGCATTGAAACGTTAGAATTGTCCGGGTCTTCTTTGTCGTTGATTAGATTGTAAACGTCAGCGACTATCAGTTGCTTGTACTTTGCGATAATAGTTGGCCCAATTCTCCCTCCGTTCACGCTGAAAAGCTGAGATTCGTCGATTAGTGTTGAATTGTCAAATTTATTTTTTGTAATTGTCAATTTTATAAAACATTTTCGCCAGCGACTAGCCGTGCAATCACAGACGCCAGGGTTGAATTCAGTTTCAGGCGTACAAATGAGGTAATCATTATGCTGATTTTTCATACCAGCTGTGGGAAATGTCGCGATGTGAAGAGCGACCAGTGTAAATAGAAGCCACTGCATGCCTCTAAAGAGAATTTAAAAACTCATTAATAATTCATGAAGCAATTATCCAATCTTGAGTAAGAAATTAGTCACGTGCATACGTCTTTATACCAGTTAAAGAACACTTTAACAAAAGACCATTGTTACGCAAACTATATAAAGATTTTTATATAAAGATTTTTATATAAAGATTTGATTTATTATGCAAACGTTTTTGAAGCCATTTAAAAAACTCGCAGGTCGTGTTTTATTAGGTCTAAAGCCACTCGCGCTGCGCGCTCGTGGCTTTAAACCTATAATAAAACACTCCTGCTCGTTTTTTAAATAGTACATGGAATTCAGAAATGGATTTAAACCCCACTGCAGAGCACCATGTTCACTACCTTCTCATTTAGACTCTTCTTTCGGTACAATAAAATGCGGTATTCCTCAAGGGTCAATCCTCGGCCCATTACTGTTCTTAATATATATATAAACAATATATATAATGCTACGGACATTGGAGAGTTTATTCTATTTGCTGACGATACTAACTTGTTCTATTCTCATGAATTTGTCATCTTTAATGAGTCTGATAAATTCTGAATTATGTAAGATTTCGGAATGGTTTCAGTCTAATAAACTTTCTATTAATACAACCAAATCCAACTACATAATATTTAAGCCAAGCCCAAGGCAAAAAAGGCAACAATTTGACTTGAATTGAAACTGGAAATAAACAATAATGAAATTAATAAAGTCAAAGAAGTTTGTTTTCTTGGTGTAATGTTAGATGAGAACTTATCATGGAAAGCACATATATCTCATGTTGCTCATAAAATTTCTAAATCTATTGGAATTATATACAGATCAAGTTTTTATCTCTTCAAATCAGCTTTGCGAATACTCTACTTTGCTCTGGTATATCCATATCTTTAGTATTGTATTATCAAGGACCAAAATTTTTCAATACGTTGAATCCCGATATACGTAATTCATAATCTATTTTTAGTTTTGAATCTAAGTTAAGATCGTTTCTTTTTTAGGCTCGTTACATATAGTTTCAATATTTAGTAATTTGGCTTATTTCATTTTTATTCGATTTGCCTTAAATCAAATAAATAATTATTATTAACAGAATGCGCACTTGGAAAACCTACTGCTCTAAATGCCGTTCTTTCAACTTAAGCTGTTGCTCACAATCTAAACTATTAATTTTTATATAGCTATGTATAAATAGTGTTCTAGTCCTTGTCTTTAATGTATGTCTACTTATTGTCTTGTATCAGGTTGATCTTCACATTCATGTCCTGTTGACCATACCTTCAATCATTGTTATACGTTTCTATGATTGTAAAGTTAATAAATAAATAAATAAATTTAGAAGGGAGGTTTCAGGTTTGATATTCTAGTAACTATATTCCACTATACATCAAAGTCTTAAAGTAATTGAAGAGAAAGAGCTATACCTTTGCACTGACATATGTAAATGGTTAGAATTTCGCTTGTTCTCGGATAACTGGGGACGTTAAATCGTAGGTATCTCGGATCCCCTATCGATTGGGGAATAGCCTAGCCTGTTGGGAAATCCGCTCACCAATGAGTGAGCTGTGAGCAACTCAATAAACTCAACCTCTAGACCGTATAAACAAAGTTGTATGAAATTAAAAGACAATATGTAGAAAACAAAGATAGAACTGCACATATACCTGTTTTATCTTTCTGCTTTGATATGATAGGACTGTAATACAAGCAGCTTTTCAGCAATTTGAACTGAACTAGAATAAAATACGGAAACTGAGTGAACAGAATATTAATTAAATGATAGCCAGCAAAAATTTCTAGCGAGATTCTCCTAAGAAAGGCGACTATTAGGTTGTGACAATATAATACATCTGTGCATACCTGCGTCTTTCTGTCTTGATAGTTTTGTCTTGATACTTCTGTCTTCAACCAAGAGGAATTGAAATGTGTAATGAGTGTGAAATGAACGCGCTTTTTATCCGTTCGGATAGCTAAGTTGCAAGTCGTCCCAAGCATGCGCGTTTCGCGTCAGTGCATCTTGTGTGTGGCGTAGCAGAACACTTGACGTAAGTAGCCTAATCTGCAGAATCATGCGCATTTGACTGACACCCGCCGGAAAATACCATTACGAGTCTTCTTAAAATTTGGCGGCACTGCAAGTCGTCCTAAGCATGCGCGTTTCGCGTCAGCGCGTCTTGTGTGTTGCGCAGCGGAACACTTGACGTAAGTAGCCAAATCATAAGCATGCGCGTTTGACAACCGCCGGAAAATGCGCATTACGAGTCTTTTCAAATTTTGGCAGCACTTTAAGAGATCATTCTTTATACAATATAATCAATACAGCACAAATATTGTTTTAAAAGTCGATTTATGCAAGACTTTCTAAACTCTATAGCACTGCTAAAAAGAGCGAGATCATATGTTTCCCGCCAAGACACTCTTGTTAGTATGTTTAATGGATTGGTTCTTCCCAATTTTGCATATTGTTCAACTATGTGGAATAATGGTATACTGCATGTCGTAGTCTACATGCAAAATGCAAAAACGAGCCGCTTGGTTTTTGACAGCGGTCGTCGTGGCTGGAAACAGTTGCTGTTGGTTAGGATCAGTTTCAATCGTTGAGGAAGTCATTTGAAAGCTTCCACAGAACGGAGGAAATGTCATTGCAGAGACTTCAAATTTTTCTTCAAATTCTAGATTTCAAATTTTTTCTTGGGAGAGTCCCCGGAACCTCCGCTAGAACTCTGTGTAGTTAAGAACAGTCAACCTCTGACAGTCAAGTATAATCGACAGATCTGACAGTTTTTGTTGTGAAAGTTACGAAGTCAGCATGGAGACTTCTGCGTAATCCCCGTATATGGAATGTTAACCAAAGTTAGGGGCTGATTACATGGAGAGTTTTCAGCCCGGGCTGAGTTTCAGCCCGGTTAAACGAGCTGAAATTGCATCACGATTACATGAGCAGTTTCAACCCGGGCTGAGTTTAGTCAGAGCTATATTTATCATCAACCCG